TATTTTTATACGTAGAATCATCTCACACTCGGTTTTATCTCGATGTATGAGCATTGTTATTAACATACATCTTTTACCCCTGCTATACAAACTTATAACATGACACAGGACTACAATGTCATAAAATTGTGTGACATTTTAAAATCCACAGTACAGCTGTATATACATGAGAGATATTGTTGGAAACGATGTAGCAAGATCATAAATTCAAATGTTGAACGATGATACCAGTTGATATATGTAGTTGCAACTAGAGCCCTGGTTGTATAACACGTATTCGTATAACACGTAACGTACCCTTCGTGTTTTATGTGAATTTATTATACTGTCTTCACTAGTTCATTAACATCCACTTATTAGATATATGTACTTATCTTGTTTAGAAAAATCAATATTTTAAATACTTTCATACTCTGTATATATATATGTACTCTGTACACATTATACAACGTCTTCCCCAAATTGTCATTTAATTTCGCGTAGAAGTAAAATTAAATAAAAATTTTCAAAATAAATAAATTTAATTATATAAAATTCTATAGGGTCTTATTGACCCATAATAAAATTTCAGCATTTTAACCAAAAATTTAATTTCGTCTTATATATTAGAGACAGTATATATTTCATTAATTCTTTCATTCCATTCTCCAATTAAAAGACAGTTGATTATACTACCTTTGTACAGTCAGTATACTGCAGCTATTTAAATAAATTCATCGTGCAGATTGACTTAAAATTAAATTCTATAAGACATGTTTTTGTTAAACAGGTGAATATGAATAACAACAGATACAGTATTCTTACTTGATAAAGAGCTATAGCATGCTATAGAATTCGAGGCAAATTTTGGACCCATAATTTGTCCCTAAAATATACATAATGTCAAATACAATTTGAAAAGAAATGGTTCTGATTCCTTCATTTATGCAAAAAGTTAGCTCACCGGAAGATTAGTCGAAAGTGTCAATACAATTGAAAATTTTAATCAAAATCCTATAGGAATTGAAATGGCTATAGCAATCCAATAGGTTCTGATCCCTTCATTTATGCAAAAAGATTAGCACACTGTATATCGTCACTTGGTCGATCTTAGTTGGCGACGATTAGTGACGGACGGTTCATTGAGTTTGTATCTACTATGCGTTGCAGGAAAGAAGGCATCTCGTTCGGTTGCGGGGCAAGAGGGGTATTACACTAGTACCGCCTATACTGTCGTTAGTAATACTCACTCTTCTATGACACTCCCAAAACTTTTACCTCCAAATTCGGTAACGTGATACGTTAACATAGGCGTAAGATATCCGCGAAAGAAAGGTTATCTCAGAGTTAACTTACAACGAATTATAAGCACTACTACGCCAGGCAATAAACGAAACGACACCATATGATTGGAAAGGATTTTGTAAACACGTAGAAACACTGGAACACGAATATTGAACGAAAGATGGAATAATAGAAGACGCAATTGAAGACCTAGAATTGGAAATACAAAGCAGTGAGTCGGATAAGAAATCAGATGACAATAGCTCAAAGATTTATAAAGTAAAGAAGTGCGAAAGTAATAATAATTAACATCATTTATGAAAATTGATTTAAAATTTAAGATGTATTTTTTATGATAAATTAATTATATAATTGCATCGTACTAGATGACCGTTTAAAAAATCATACGATACAACATAAATATAAAAAATACGTGTATAGTACATCACGTTTGCTGCATAATGCAATGAAAAGTTAATCAAGATGCTAATTAATAATTAGTAATTGCAAATAATCATGCGTTCATCGGAAGAATCTGAAGTTAATATGCTTTTAGGACGAGTCTACGCTCTTGCATCTATTTGTTGCGTCTGTCTCACTTTGTCTCGTTGCTTCGTTCGCTTTCTTTGTCACGTGGTGTTCTATGACCGGGCTAATAAGAAGGGATCAGTTCTACCAATAAGGGAAGCGTTTTACTCTACTTCTGTCATGATGTTAGAATGGTTGGGCTGGTGGGGATTCGGTCCTACAAGTTTCTCAGATGACTTCTTTCCTGCAACGCAGAGTAGCTTCGATGTGTTAAGTGGACTGTATTTTAGATAGAACTCTCTCTGCCACTGTTTTATCGGTGGTTTTATAAACTTTCTCTGTGGTCTGATTGGTTGCGACTAATATTGAGGGTGTATCCTAGCTCCAGTGTCTTTCGGTGGTGGTGGTGGTTGTTTAAACAAAAGTCCTTGTGTTTGTCGTCTTGAAGGGTGGTATATCGATCCTTGTTACGGTTGCCTAAGTGGTGGCTTAGGTGACAATGAGTGTAGAGCAGTCAAGGAACGCTGACAATAAGGACATAAAACAGTCCTCCACTTGACCTAGGACATAGCAGTCCTAGGGCCGCAACACTGGTACTTGTAAAATTTCAGAGCCTTCACGGGTAGATATACAGTCCTAAACAAAGGGATGAACGGAGTACCGAAAACGACCTTTCACGGATTAACACTCGCCATAATATTAGTCGAAAATGTCAATGCAATTGAAAATTTTAATGAAAAACCTATAGGAATCGAAATTTTTAAGAATAAATTATCAAACATGATTCTACGCGTAAAAATAAGATAAAAAGGAAGAGTAACATTTTTTCGTGCGAAGCTCCTTTTTGGAGAAAATGAGGGTTGAAAATTTCGTGGTGCGCACGTTCTTTTATTTAAAAGCTACAAATTGCCCCTCCTCGTGTTCGTGGATACTCTTAGTGTTTCTGTTTCGGAAATTACTGTTCTCTAAGAGAAAAAATGGACGAGAGATGAGATAATCAACATTAAATTTATACGCACCCCATGAATTTCTAAAGTCGTTTTCCTCAAAAATGAAAGCTCGAAGGAAAAAATGGTATTCTTCCTTTTCGACTTATTTTTGGATGTAGAATCACCTGCTGGTCTTTAATATCGTCAATTACCAGACGTTCTCTGGTATAATAGCGTAGACTACGTTGTCGCAATTTTTATCTAATATCGATGATTGGTACTTTCAGCCTATGTTCAGTTTTAGTGTTTTGTATTGCTTATGATCCTTGGTCTTGATCATTATACTATGTGATCTGATTCTGCTAATAAAATTTCTTATGCCCTATTTTCATAATTGTGTCGGAGAACGTGGACTTATTGTGACAGGGGCAATAAAACTCACACTGAGTGAGCTGACTTCTCACATTTACATAGTACATGCTGAGATAAGGGGCTGGTTGGTGTGCTCTTGTTTTTAAGTACCTGGATTGAGGAAATTCAAACACATCAGCAACTAATAGTACTGACTCAGAACCTGATGGTCACTTGTCACACCTCATAACCGGCTTATCAATGTTCGCAGGCTATAGAGACCAGTAATAGAGCAATTTTCGAAATTTTTCGTCAGACTTTGTATCTCTTGGTATATTCATGACAGCACAGATAAAATCGTGTTATTCGTTACGTGTGTCGTACTCATCTCTTTGCAGCCATTAAGTTTTACATACCTGCTTGGACATTAATTATAGTTCTAGCGTGTAAGGGTTCGAAGAAATTACTGTCCAAAGACTTTCAATGCTAGGGATTAAAGGAAAGAAAACACTGTTGCAACCATTGTGGGTGTGAAGCTATATATTTTCAAGTGGATAAATAATTCAATGTTGCAATTTTTAATTTCCTTAATAGATGTGTTTTATCCTGTAATCCTTCTTGCACTGATGTGTAATTTGACATAAAACAGAATTTTCAATTTTCGGCATGAAAATTATGAAATAAACACTGATTTCTTTCAAATTTGCGAATTTTTGTGTATTTTTGTCTTTAATTAAATTTTAAATAGTGATAAAAGGTTAGCTTGTTAGTGATACTTCGGTGCGTCGAGTATCTGCTTAGTTAGAGTGCCGTGGCGGCGCTAGTGGGCTAGTCCTTTAATTAAAATTAAAATTCTTGCAATATAAATACATAACGATAAATATAAGATTTTAATTTTTGCTATATGCAGTTTACTCATGAAAAGTAAAATTTGCGAATTTTTGTATATTATTTATTTTCAATAAAATCTTAAATAGCGATAAAAAGGTACTTTCTTAGTGATATTTCGGTACGTCAAGTCTCTGTTTATAGTGGACGCATTGGGTCTAGTTAGAGTGCGTGGCGGCGCTAGTAGACTAGTTCCGTATTTCAAGCTTGCCCAAAAATATAACTCGCTGTAATCAAGTATAGAAAATTACTAGAATTTATTAACAAAAAGACATAGATCTTTGAAGTAATTAGAGAGATAGTATTTACAATACAAATATTAACATTTTAACATTACGAAAACAACATAAATATATTACAACTTCAAATACATTGAACATATGAATATATTAAAATTCTTACAATATAAATATATAATTATAACCAGTATATTTCTCACTATACATAAATATATTACAACTTGAAATACATTGAACATATGAATATATTAAAATTCTTGCAATATGAATATATAATTATAACCAGTATATTTCCCACTATACATAAATATATTACAACTTGAAATACATTGAACATATGAATATATTAAAATTCTTGCAATATGAATATATAATTATAACCAGTATATTTCCCACTATACATAAATATATTACAACTTGAAATACATTGAACATATGAATATATTAAAATTCTTGCAATATAAATATGTAATTATCACCAGTATATTTCTCACTATATAAAATAATATTCCACTATTATTTTCTCTCACCTAATTCAAAGATTCTTCTACATCATCCCTGTTCCTATTCAGCACACGTAATTCCACGGAAACGATCCTCATTCGTGTCCTCCATTGCTTTATTACACCGGAATCAATAGGCTAGGGAATATAGGGGAATTTTGTCTTGCTTCACCACTTCGCTTATTAGTTACTACTTACCAGTTGCGCGACACACTTTCGCACAATCGATTGAAAAAGGACGCATGAAATCGGGGACCTGACCACACACGGCTATGAACGTTGTTTTGATTTTGTTTCAGGTACGCGGAACGCAGTCAAGCTGGCTGCCTCCGCCGGTAACCCCTCCGCTGCCGTCGCCGCCTCCGCGCATCCTCCTGTGCTTTGGAGCTCGCGCAGGAAGCCCGGTAAGTGCACGTTCGCGTATTATTTCCTGTCCACATTTTAATTCCACGTTTCTCCCCGAGATGTCGACCCGTTCCATTAGATAGACGGCGTTAGCCCCGCCGTGCGTTATAAATCAAAGCTGACTCAAACTCGAGTCGCCGGGCGCATCTAGGGAGATTTTTGCCGGACCGCGACCTTGGGGAATTCTCAAGGTCACGTGCTTCGAATTTTCAACAACCTCATGCTTGTCTCGTTGATGCGCTTTTACGTGGCACAGATAGACTCTTCGTTGAAAATATGCGATATACAGGGTGCCCCACAAATCTTTTGCCAAGATTTTTCGAGTACTTGCTATGATCTGACGAAAAAATGTTTTGGGCAAAAGTTACTGTATTTTCGTGTTTTATTCTGATAATTCTGAAAAAAATTTTTTTTTTATAACAGACGTGTATAGTAGACGTGATATGTTTATATTATACATTTCTCGTATAATAGACTCGATGTGAGGAGATTTTCAGAAAACATTGGGCATGCTCGAACTGTTGGTTACAATTAGAAGCAATAGAGGGCGTTTCTGTTATTGGTATTTTAATTATTTTGTTGCATACATACTGTGATGGGATGCCTAGGACTTAAATGGCATTGTTAAAATGATTATAAGTAATTAGAAAAGCAGGAAATTTTTATTTGAATGTTAAATATCTTGTTTTTTAACAGAAAATTATAAGTAGACTGTAAATAAGTAACGAAATAAAAATTTCTGCGATCTGTCGTTTTTTATTTTTCCAAGTATGAAATGAAATTCACACTGGAAATTTTAATAGTTTGAACTCTAATTATTTTAAAATTCTTAAGATTAATAGTTTCACAATTTTTAAAAAATTAAAAAGTTTTTACGATTTTTTGAAAGTAATAAACTGTGGAGTCTTAAATATTAAGAGACAACAGCTTTTAGGTTAGGTTATGTTAGGTTAGGTTATAATAGCTAAGTGTACGCACATTTGGCGAATATTCTATGTCAGTTTTCTCGAAAACGAAGCTTCGAATTCAAAAAATTTATTCTTTATTTTCGATTTCTTTTTTTATGTAGAATCTTTCCGGTTGTAATGTTATTGTTGGGACACTCTGTATAGTCATCGTGTAATACATATTCAGCCATTTGCACTTGAAGAATTTTTTGATTCGGTCGATCAGTAAAATTCCGAATAAACATTCATAGAGAAAACCATTTTAAAATTAAAAATATTTGTTTAAAAAGAGAAAATATGTTTGAAATAGCGTTATTCACATATTCATTTCAATTAGTGAAAGCAAACCCAAATTACAAATTGCAGATTAATAATAATATAATTTTATAATAATACGATAATAAAATATAACTATGTAATAAAATATTATATATAGTTATAAATGTGTAGATCATTTAACATACGCATTTTGCAATATCTTCGACAAATTTGAATAAGTAAAAATCATTGTTAATAACACCAAGAAATCAAATACAGTCGATATTGTATCATACATACAAACAAGCAACTATTTGGGTATTAAAAACTCGGCTGGCTGCTAAGTATCCCTAGGCTAGGTAGCTGGGGAATTTCTTGGGACGCCATCTACCTAATCACTTCAATGGCACACTAGCAAATCACTCCAATAGAACAGTATATCTAGGTAATATGTAGCTTTGATCCTTATCGTGAATATATATGCCAATGCTTTTAAGTTTGTCGATTACTCGTTATCTTCCTATTTTAATTGGACTCTATGTGATCTGTTCACTATCTTCGTCACGCGATGCTATATGAGCTGATTTATGAACTTGTTCATTTGGAGGTTCGTTCATTTTGGGAAATAAGAAATATACGTTCTACTTGTGTGGTTGTATTAGAGCAGGTGAGTGTGAGTTGAAATATAACCAATTTCATTTGTATTCCATCCACGAGACTTCTTAGCAATGCAATAGGATGTAAAGTATAAAATAGAATTTATGGAACTCTAAATATTTTCTGCAGTACTCGCAGAAGTATAAGGATTTCTGTAACACCTATAGAATAATATTTATAGGGCTTTGAATATTTCTATAGCACGTATAACATTTGGAAGATTTCTATAATACTTATAGAGAAACATTTATAGGATTTTGAAGTTTTCTATAGCACTTATAGAACTCTAAGATTTCTATAATATCTATAGAATGACATTTATAGGATTTTGAAGACTTCTATAGCACTGATAGAACTCTAAAATTTTCTATAAAATCTATACAACAGCATTTATAGGGTTGTGAAGACTTCTATAACACTGATAGAACTCTTAAAATTTCTGTAATATCTATAGAATAGCATTTATAGGGTTTTGAAGTTTTCTATAGTACTCTAGGATTTCTATAATATCTATAGAATAGCATTTAGAGGGTTTTAAAGACTTCTATAGCACATATAAAATTTGGAAGATTTCTGTAATACTTATAGAGAAACATTTATAGGGTTTTGAAGTTTTCTATAGCACTTATAGAACTCTAAGATTTCTATAATATCTATAGAATGACATTTATAGGGTTTTGAAGACTTCTATAGCACTGATAGAACTCTAAAAATTTCTATAATATCTGTAGAATAGTATTTATAGGGTTTTAAAGTTTTCTATAGTACTTATAGAACTCTAAAATTTTTTATAAAATGTATAGAACAGCATTTATAGGGTTGTGAAGACTTCTATAACACTGATAGAACTCAAAAAATTTCTGTAATATCTATAGAATAGCATTTATAGGGTTTTGACGTTTTCTATAGTACTCTAGGATTTCTATAATATCTATAGAATAGCATTTATTGGGTTTCAAGGACTTCTATAGCACATATAAAATTTGGAAGATTTCTTTAATACTTATAGAGGAACATTTATAGGGTTTTGAAGTTTTCTATAGTACTCTAAGATTTCTGTAATATCTATAGTGTAGCATTTATAGGGTTTTGAAGATTTCTATAGCACTTATGCAACTCTAAAGATTTCTATAAAATCTATGCAACAGCATTTATAGGGTTTTGAAGACTTCTATATCACTGATAGAACTCTACAGATTTCTATAATATCTATAGAATAGTATTTATAGAGTTTTGAAGATTTCTCTAGCATTCATAGAACTTCAAAAATTTCTATAGTACTTATAGAATAATGCTTATAGATTTTTGGAAATATCTTATACCACTTATAAACCTCTATTTGATATCACAAGTACTGATAAATCTAGAGCAAGAGCCAAGAAAATTCACAAATTTTTAATATTCCAAATATCTTAAATTATCTACAACAATCGATTAAGAACATTTATTAACAATTCTAGAACAAGAATTAGGAAGATCCAAAGAACTTTAAAATTCCAAAAACTATTCTACATTAAATAAAATTTCTCCGATCACTTCCATACTATTTATGAAACCTCGTTTGATGTTACAAGTAAATACTAGATATATCCAAGACAAGAGCCTGGAATATTTAATAATTTTTAATGTTTTAAATGTTCGGTAAAAGACTCTGTTTAAAATTACAAGCATTAAGAAATCAAGAAGAATATTCGCAAATATAATAATCCCGTGAAAAATCGGAACAACCTAACCTCAATCGCAACCTTAATTTCCTCACGCGAACAGAAATTTGTCACGGAGCGGAATCAAATTTCCCGCGCTACGCGGAAACGAATATTACGCGCGTTTGATGATATAAATCGGGGGTGGGGGAAAAAGACGTTGCGATTAATGTAACGTTGCAACGATTGGCTGTTCGTCCCCATCGCGCGTCTGACAGGGCTGCGGACGCAAAGCATGCAATTGGCCCGGGGGTTAATTCCTCCGCGACCGGCTAATTCGATACGAGTCGTGCTCGTTTGACCCCCACTTATTGACCCTGGCCAGTTAATTCACAACCTCTCGGAGGTCTTTCAGGATTGGAGCATACCGCCAATCCTATGCTTTCGTGCATTTTAATAATAGACTTCGCGACAATAATAATTTTGCAATGCTGTTAATTTACTAACCCGTTAATTACGCGCTTGGTTATGGACGTGATTATTACAAGAACAATAAAAGCTGCGGTTAATTTAGGTTGCGTGATCGCTTTATAATATCAAGCCATTTTGTTTCTGTGTTTTAAATTGTACCCTGTGTGATTATTCGGCCGTGAATGGAAATCTTAAATTATGCTTACGTGTGGGTATTTAGATAAATTAAAGCGAATAAAAAATTGAGAGTATGAAATATACATAGATGTGCATCAAAGATATACTATGTTAAAAATATTTTTATGTATCGTATAATTATTTTCATTTTATATATTTAATATATATAGCATACAAAATGTAATTATATGATGTACATTGTACATATTAATATTAACTAAATTAATTTAGAATATATATTATATAAATTTTGTATAATATATATACATATATATTTCATATAATACAAAAGAGCAATTGTAATAATAATCTCTCTCTTCAAAACTGCAATTGTTTTAAAAAATAATAATTTTCCGTTTCATTGAGTTTATTATATATCAATAATCATAATAAATAAATTGCGAATAAAATGGATTGAATATTTATAAAATGGTTTGAATATATAATAATTTCATTTTTAAACTATACGTTTTCCTATCTTAATTTATTGATTCTATGACGTAAGAATTTCCACGGAATTATTTCAAGATCAAATTATTTATTTTGACAATAATGGTAATTATTAGTCCACAATTTTATGTTAACATACTATTTCGAGGAACAAAATAATTATTTACGTCGTCGAAAGATCAAGCATTATGTTAACATTCGTTATTAAATTTCATCGTTATCTGCATTCCTTCGAGGAAATCCCCGTGACCGATCGTAACTGCAATTTTTATGAAGTCATTTACGATTATATCGAAGAATATTGTATAAATATTGTTCCTCCGAGTGGCCAGCATATGTAAATATTTAACACAATATCAATAATTAAGATACACGTTACGTTTAATACAACGCTAA